GGGCGGGGCTTTGAGTGCATGGTTGTCGCTGCCATCGTGACTTTTTTGACACCCCCCCCGCGGAGACTCCTCGTGATGCAAAGCCTCGCGGGCACCAACCGCCAAGCAAGAAGAAACCCGCAGGAATGAAGCCCGTTCATCTTTTTATTCGCTGACTTAACTTTTTAGAGAGAGCACGTAGACAAATCAAAGCAAATCACGAATAAAGGAAAGAATAAGGCACCGAGGAATAAACCAGGGAACTTAAAAATAAAAAATTGAAGGGGGTTACTGTATAGTTTTCCATATATCCTTAGTAACTTATGAACGATGGACTATAATATAGTGCTTTTAGACAGATAACATTGCTGATAAATTCTCAGCAAGGAGACCTATCAAGACGCATGGCGGGCACAGTATAAATAAAATTAGAAGTTACAATAGACTGATTCAAAACTGAGAGTCTGGTCTGCTTTAAATATCCTGCGAATTGAAATATGAACTCTATACATAAGAGAACCAATATTTTGGATGGGGGCCCCCCTTCCATGTATTAAGTTATAGTCCCAGAATAGTTTCCACTTTGAATTAAATTCTGTGTTAGATTGCCAGCTCATTTTCAAAAGTTGCAAGTTTCTTGCTTTTAGGGCACAGCTAAGTGGTTCACCTCTTCATGAATGGGCAGGAAAGTATGAGATGCCCGCCATGCCAGTCTCTATTCTGCCCCATAACAAGCTGAGTGGCGCTGTCGTCATCATCATCATCATCACATTATTATGGTTGGTTGCCCAGTCGGAAGACCCTGGAAAAACCGCTCATACAAGAATGATCTGAAATGTCCAATTTGGTGTAGTGGTTAAAGGCATCGGCTAGAAACCAGGAGACCCTGAGTTCCAGTTCCACCATGTGCATAAAGCCAACGGGGTCACTTTCTCTCAGCCCTAGGAAGAAGGCCAGGGCAAATGACGTCCAAAAAATGCGGCCAAGAAAACTGCAGGGACTCATTCCTAAAGTTACCAAGATAAGACTAACTTGAAGCTTTAAAAAAATGCTTATTATTGTATTGCTTGTATACACTGTTTAGCATCGCCTCGAGTGAAGGGCTCCATAAATTAATAAACAAAATGAAATTATTCTCCCAATGCAAGCTTCTAGATCTTCTAGTTGGTTTCCAGGTTCCAAAATATTTTCACAACCACATTGGGAATTCAATATCCAAGCCATTCTCTTTGAGGATTATGGGAGTAGGAATCCAAGGTGGACATCTGGAGGCCTCTAAGTTGGAAATGACTTATTTGGAAGCAGAGGAAGGGGGGGGGGGTTGCCACACAAAAGGAGGAGTGTGTAATAGTTACGGAATTTCAGTTTTCCCATATCGCAAAAGACTGGGATTGCCAAGGAGTGGTTATATAAGAGCGGAAGCGGATGCAGAGTTATGACGAAACGCTGAAACTTAGCACAGCTTTTCTTTTGATCCATCCTTAACGGTGAGAGAAAGAACAGCTAATGGAGTACCCCAAACTTGTTCTGCTCTGCTCCATGTTTTGCTGCAGGCTGAGTTTTTCAGGATCGGGCTGCATAAATCATTGAAATCACAGGTTGGAGATGAGAAAAGGCCAGCTTCCTGGGGAGTAGGCAGGGGCATCCATGGAGAGACCAAAAAAGTCAAGAAGGAGGCCACGATTGCATGACAAAGCCCCATCCCTTTTTACACGCATTTTATGACTGATCACACTTTTGTGGCCATCATTTTGACTTTTTTGATCCAGTCTTTAATGTTCATTTTCATAATGTTTGGCCTAAGACCAGTATCCGAAAAGGGCTGTATGGGTGTAGGTCTTTGTGTCAGTAAGTCAAAATCTTGCAACCAGTTCATCTGAAAATAAGTAAAGAATAACATGTTTGTTGATTTATGCCTCCATTTGATAAATGTTAAACAGAGAGAAGACGGAAGAGGAATATGTGGGCCACTGAGGAAGTTGATACAGAGAAAATAGCCATTTACAAAGCAGGCAGGCAGCATCTGGCCACGTTTGTGTGGGCTTGGCTAGCACTTGGATGGGGCACCACCTGTAAATCCTACAGCTCTAGAACAGACAATGAAATGGAAAAATCAGCCCAGAAGAAGGCAATGGGGAATTATTTCGATATTGTTTCTGAGAAAACTACATGGACATACCCATGAAGTCACCAGGAGTTGAGAGACTTTCCTTAGCTCTGCTCCACGATCTCCAGAACATCTCATCTCTCCAGATGAAATCCTGCTGAAGCTGATTCCTCCTGCATCATCCAGATGTGGTGTAATCCAAGTCCAGCCACAAGCAGTGCTTATACTTTTCTATGAGCCCAGTTTAAAAGTATATTTACCTACCTCTCCACTTTCATGATAACCTTCGTGAGAAATCCCGCTAACGGCCGAATCTGACCACGAGTATAAACATCGATGGTTAAAAAAAGCATTTGCCCTAATTAATATGGCAGTTAAATATGAGCTTCTGCAAGTGAACAAACAGAAGTAGAGTAACTGATTAAACAAGTCAATCTACCTTCTCAGAGCCGCCCTTTGAAGGAAGCTAGGTAGAGTTAAGGTTGACTCCCGGACACATCCTTGTACTTTTCTTGGCAGCAATTTATGCAGAACTTTTTATAGAAAGTTAGCACTGGATCCCAATGGTTCATAGGGCACAATCGGGTGTCTACGGGGTATGGTTAAAAAAAAAAAAAATCAAGGTGGTGCATTTTTTATGCAACACCCATAAAAACCAGGCAGAGCTTTGATCAAACTGTTGCAACTGCCATCTTGACATTTTGACCAGACCCTGCAGACATCTCTGGCCACAATGCATTTCGGTTTCTCCCCCTCCCTCCCTCCCTTGTTTTGCTTTAATATTCATAAGCCCTAAATAATTGATTGCAAAAGGAGTTCTGGAGTAGCATTCATTTTATGTCAAGCACAAAGCCATTTGCAAATGTACTTAGGCAGCGGTCCAAAACAACCATCAAAAAGTCCGTTGAATATCGGAGAGAGAAGCCTTACCATACAATGCAATGGAAAGTATATATTATAAGTAGAAAGATAGTATTTTTAGATCTAGAAATCAGAATGTTCTTCTGGGGTTCAATAAACTTCAGTTAGGAGAAGGCCTTCAATAATGTGAGTCTGGATCATATGTATTGCAGAGATGGAAAGCCCTTGAATATAAGATACAGAAATAAATAATGAAACTAGTCTACATAATTGTTTCATTTTCCTTATCAGTATGTGTTTTCATACACACTGAATGGTAAACTTGCCTGATGAGTTGGGTAAAACATGGTTGTCTAGTTTGTGATTCAGTGTGTTGTATAAATATAGCCAGTAGGTCAAGATGGCACTTCCAATCATGCTGATCACACGTTGCAACTGCCCCCGTGACTTTTCTGAGCCCCTGCTGTGGATACCCATGAAAACTAGGCCAGTCGGTTTTTCTTCCCTCCACATCAGCTTTTAAGCTTGTTCACAGAGGTATTTTCTATGTTTTCTTTAATATACAGTAGCTTGGATGAATCCATTTGCCAGAGCAGCATATTTGCCATTATTGTAGTTAGTAGCACTTGTTATGAAAATACATATTTGGCAGGAGATCTCCCCGAGAGGCCAAAACAAAAGACTCTATGACCTGGTACAATTGATTTTCTGTCCCATATAGCAGGTAATAAATGTTAGGCTGGCTCAATTTTGACAGGGGAAAGTATTTATCTGATATATGTCTTCTTTTTTAACTACCACAATCCATTATGAGCTTGCTTTTGAAAACAGAGAACTGCTGAATCTAACATCACCCTTAATTTTGTTTTTCTCCCCCAATACGCTAATGAATTTTGGAACACTAAATACATTTTATTGTACATTAGCCATTGCAAAAGTGTAAGTGATACAGTGTCCGCCTTACTAGGTAGATCAGACAGGAAACACGACCAGATGAGCTAATTCTACTTTATTGTAAGGTTACATTGACAGAATTTTGCAAATCTGGAAGTATGTTTCTCCCTCCATCCCCTTTACAAGCCAAAAACTAGGGAGGGTCTCTTCTGAGCCTCTTGCCCCATCCATATACCTGCTGCAGGCTAAGCTGCCTTTTATCTGACTGTTCCCTTGGCTGTGTCTCTTTGCCCCAAGGTCTCCTAAGGTCATTCCCACAAACATTACATACAGTGATTTGAAAGGAAGTGACAAAGTTTCAAGGAAATATATAAAACTGTGAGCCCCACAAGGTAGACTAGACGAGGAAATAAACTCCGCAGGAAAGCGAAAACTACTTTTTTTTAGATTGGCCATAAAAACAGAATTTTGCAAGTCTGATTGTGCTCCTCCTCCTTCGTATAGTTCAGTGAATGAGGGAGGTGTCTGTCTGAGCAGCTTCTGATGTTCTGGGCTTAAAAAATGCTTCAGCCCCTCTTGTCTTGGTAACAGATCTTGCATACCTCCATCAAAGTCCTCTTCCTTACTCTCTACAGAAACCAGCATGGAAATATTAAATATATCCAGGTTCTCCTCCTCCTCTTCCTCCTCCTCATCACCACAACAATTATATAAATTTTACAGCAGTTATATTCTTTTTTAAAGAGCCATTTGTACCTGTTATTTTTGGTTCAGTCATTTCATTGTTTCTGACTCTTCATGACCCAATCGATATTATGAGTGTCACCAATTTACCATCATTTTGTAATTATGGCTTTGCCCTCATTCTGAGACAGCTAAACTGAACTTAGAGCTTAGGAGGTTAAGGGGAGAAGCAGGGGACAATGATTCCTTAAGATAAGAAGGAAACATACAGCTACCAAATACCCTTGATTTGGAAACGGGAGGATGAAACCAGCGAATTTAAAACTCAGGCAAAATCAAAGACGATAACAGCTTTACACGTACAGTGGGCAGTCAATTGCATACGGCTTCACTGTCATCTGTAGTAAACATGAGATAGTTGAAATAAGCTATGAAGTGTCAGGAAAGCTATGATTTACCACCAAGTCCAAAAACCTAATGATTTGGTGTTTGTGAAGCATTGTCTACATCTCTTTAAAGTAATTGCATCTTTTCCCACGATCACATGGCAACTGCCGAAGACAGCCACACGATCCCAGGAAAAGATGCAACTGCTTTGAAGAATTGCTTTGTCTTCTCACGTACTCGGAAGCACCTTCTCTGAATTATTCTGAAGAACTGCAGCACACGAGTGGGTGCCACTGACCACGGGTTTACAGTACAAACCACACATCCGGAAAAAAAGACAAAACACGTATTGCGACGTCACAAGGCAAACGTCACAAAGCCTTTTAGATTTGCAGTCCGATCTCCAAAGGTGTCCACAGGGGGGTTCTTGCCTAGGGATCTCCTCACTGATGTCAGACCCAAATATATAAATTACAGGGTTGGTATTGATATGTGTCACAGTGCACGTTTCATCATTGACCCCTTCCTTGCCCCTCAGCCCTGTGGCTGCCTCTGCTGATCTGTAGTCATATCTTTGTGTTTTATTGCCTCTGCCTGATAGATGAAGCATTGAGCAGACAAACAAAGAGTCTTGGTTAAGATTTTTAGTCCGAAACGTATGCCTGGATTCACTCAAGTTAAATAAGATTGGTTATTCTGTGGATTGCTGCCCACCCACGTAGTTAGATGGTGGTGCAAAGGGATAGAATAAACCCAGAAAATGGGGTGAATTGGGAAACCATGCTTAATGAAGCCTAGGAGTCCACGTGCCATGCAAATATGGCTTATTGTGGGCTCCTAAAATACACGGCTGATTTGGACTCCAGAAAGCAAAGACGGAGGACGAGGAGAATTGGCAGCTGTCAACACAATCTCAGCCATCGCTTTCAAATTTTGCAAGGGGGCGGCTAATTATACCGTACTATATTAGAACATGGACCACTATAGTTTAGAGTTGTTTGCAGGGAAGGGGTGAAAAAGTCAAGATGGCAACCGCGATTGCATGTTCAAAGCCCCGCCCTTTCCTACATGCATGTAGGAAAGGGGTGGGTCTTCCATCACATGGTCATATCTGTCGTCTTGACTTTTTTGACATCTCCCCACTCCCACAGATGCCCCTTCTAGAGCTGCCCACATTTTATTATCCCTTTTTCTATACTTCTAACCACTGCTATTTCTTCACCTTCCCTGGGGAAAAGTTTCTGATCAGTGTGTTTGCTGTCTGTGGCTCAGGAGATGGGCCATCTTAAAGTGTAAGTTCATTATATCGTTCCTCAGAAATAGAAATGGAAGGTGTGTTAATAGCAAAAGCCATCTCAGGCATCTGATTGACATGTAGCTTTTCTTTCAGAAGAACGGCAGACGCCGTCACGCGGACCCAAACATTCACTATTTCTTTCCCTCTCTCAGAGTTCATCTCCGCTGGATGAAGGTAATTGTATCTTTCTCCAATTACTTTTGCAATTGAATATATTCGTTCCCCTGGGATGTTGAAAGGATTAATTCTCCGATATTCGTAACGTGCTGAAAAGAGACTGCCGTGAACACAATTCTAAAGAATTAAAAGAAATCAGGTCCTATAATAAAAAGACCACGGGTAACTCCTCGTTTGCAGCATTTTTCCAAGTCATCGTGTGACTTCTTTGGGATTTAATCTGTTCACCTTAAGGTTGCCTTTGCCATGGACGTTTAATTCTAAACATTGGGTGCGTTCCCAGGACAAACTGACCCATCGTTCACTTAACCGTGGTTTGTGGAATTGATCCAATTTTCCAGGTTTGTAGAACACTCAAATCACTTCCATGTTAGCCACAGAGATGTCCACGGGCAGGCCAAAATCTGTAGGATCCGAGCCCCTCTCTTTTTGTAGGTGCATGTCCACGTGACAAGGCACATACAAAAGGGGAGGGGCTTGGTTTGTAATGCTGCACCTGCCATTTTGCAGATTTTGACCCCTTCCCAGAAAACTACACAGATATGTCCATGAAATCACCAAGAGTCAAGCTCAGTTCGGGGCCTCCTTACTTCTCTAATCTCAGCAGGTTCCTCTTGTCTGAGCTTTGAACCTAAGCTTGGCTGGGTCTGGTTAGGACTCGGATGGGAGACCACAAGGAAATCCCAAGCCTGTAGGCTGGATTGGAAAGGCAAAACATCTGGAAGAATGCAAACATATCATTGCCCAGCAAACAAGCTGCATGTGCCCATAAATGGATCAGGATTTGAGTTCTACCTGAAGGAGACAATACCTTTGTTTGCCATAATCTGAACTCTAATTTAATCATAGTGTCTGGCTTTGTACAAGATTAGCATCGATGCTCCCTTGAATTATTCGCCAACTCTCCATCTTTCTGGAAGCTATTTATTATTAGGACTGTTTTTACATTGTATTTTAACGAATTTTATCTCTGCTGTAAACCGCCCAGAGTCGTTTCAATGAGATGGGCAGTGACAAATTTGATAAATAAACTAAAAAATAATAATAATAATAATAATTATTATT